CCGGGTCAGCAGATGTTAAAAGACTAAGCTCAGTCAGTGGGACATGTTTGATACACGATTTCAGGTGAAGAGACTGAAGGTAGTGGGTGGCTCTTATGGCGGAGAGAGTGGATGCAGTCAGGCAATTGAGCTCCTTGGGGATGAGAAGTTCATCTAGGAGAAGAAGTTGGCTGTGAAGTTCTCGGAGGAAGTGAGTCAGGATAGCGGGAAGTATGTTTTCGGGGTGGTTGACACGCTAATGGTTTTGGAAATGGGTGCTGTGGAGACTCTTATAGTGTGGGAGAGCTTGGATATCACCATACGTGTCCTGAAAAGCGTTAGCACAAAAGAGGTTGTTATAAAAACTTGAACAAGGGACAAGAGGTTAATTAGAGCAACTTCAGGGACCCGGAAAATGGGGGTGCAAATTTGGAGGTTCAGTAGAAAAATGTCTCTACTGGAGTTGTTTGCCGATGAGTATAAGAAGTTTGGTTGTTGCTTGGAACTCGTGACAAACAATTCACAAGAAGGGTGACAGTTATGCTTTGGGTTTGGTGGCATTGGAGGAATTCTGCGCTAGAAGCGGTGATTTTGGAGATGATGGTGACTATTCAGATGATAGAGGTGAAGTGGATGAAGACTGGGAGTGGCCATTAATGCCAACCTCAAGTATACCAGTGCAGGTTGATTGGGGAAAGGCCTGCACTGGTGCCCGTTCTCTTGGGGGTACCGTGACAGCTCTTGTTAGGAGGAATTGCTCTCACAAGCCCGGAACTACGGAACAAGGTTTGGCATCTGAAATCCTCCTTTTTTTATATGGAAAATGATGAATGTGTAGTGGTATTTGGTTTTGCTGTGTTTGTAGTTGATTTAACCTGCAGTCCATGAAATTTGCAGATGGCAATCCAAGCGGTGCAGTGCGTCAGAGGTGCAAGAAGCAAAGAACACATGTTCTTGCGCTGTGAAAGTTTCAGCGGTGAAGGCACACTACCTAAGGTCGGTGGTGAATCTCTAGCTCATCGTAAGTAGTCATTTCTGGGCAGCCCCCCTATCTATTACTTCTAAGAAGTTAAATTTTTGGTGTGATGTCAGGCAGAAGCATCTGCGACTACAATTCTTCCTCGTCATGGAGTCAACCATGTTGTCTTTGTAGGTACGGTTGTGTGCTATTGGGATGTCACCCGCTGCCCTAGGGACTTCTTGGACATCCTGTAATCCGTGAATGGCAGAGGTTGATTGTAAACACATTAGATGCAGAAAAAGAGTCTTTGAAGTCTCTTCCTGCCTTAGCCTCAAGTGTTCTAGTGGCGAATTGACTTGAATATGACCATAGGTTTGTGCTGTGAGGTGCTAGTTTCTCTGGCCTTTTATTTCTTTGTAGGAGTATATATTTTCATCTTTGGAAACTAAGGTCATAGTGTCCTCTCTGCTCAGCAGCTAGCACACTCGGCCCATTTTGTTTTTCATGTGTTTATAAGTAATGATTTAAAACTCACATCCCAATCATCACTATTTCACATTTGAAGACCTCTATTTTTCCTTTGAAGTAAGGGTGAGCATGGTACGGTATTTAGCTCGTATCGATACCGTACCAAATATTTCGGTTCGGTATGGGATTTTCTTCCGTACCGATCCCGATCCCGAAATATCGGTTCGGTATGATTCGGGATGGTTTGGTTTCGGTATAAATCGGGATGAATATACATACCTACTTTACACGTTAAAATTTAACAATGCCTCTTTATTTTTGAAAATTAAAAAGTGAATTTAAATAAAAAACATGAAAAGTTAAAAAATGAATATTTAAATACAAGAGATGTGTATCAAAACTTAGTTTATATCTCACAAACTAAAAAAAGAAACGTCAACAAAAGAGTATTTTGAATCTATGTGAATACTTTTATGTTCATACACAAAAATTAGAACTCAAATAGAAGTATAATTTACACATAATAGAACTTGAACCAATTTTTTTAATAATATTTTAGTATATATGTTCGGTTCGGGATTTTCGGTATGGGACGTCACCTCGTACTGTTCCCAAATACCGTACCGACCATTCGGTTCGGTACTGTTCGGTTTTTTCTCGGTACTCTTTTGGTTCGGTACTTTTCGGTTCGGGATTCTCGGTTTCTTCAGGAATTTTCGGTATCGGTTCGGTACTTGCTCACCCCTACTTTGAAGGTTATGTTTCTGTTGGTGGGAGTCAGCTTAGTGCTGTGACTGCTGTCATCGTGAAATTCTTTCTAGTAATAGTCAACATACTACTTCAAATAGATACACCTAGTATGGTAGTCTAGGTGATAGGTGATTAAATCTCCCTTCTCCTCCCTCATGAAAGCTGATTCGCTTTTGTTGAATGAATTTTGTGTGCAGTTCGTTGAAGATTGACAAGAATTTTCAAGTTAGGCTCATATTTTAGTAGATTATCATATGCATATATTTAGTAAAACGTACGTGTTAACAAACCCATATTTTTCCATGGCGTATTGATTTAATGCTTATTAGATATTTTTCCATGGCGTATTCATTCTTTTTCAAGTTCAGTCTCGCTTTAATTTTTTTAGAAAAAAAAAATACTTTGTACTAGAATAGGAATAAACATGGAGAAATCGCTTAAATAAAAATGAATATTTTTCATCTCCAAAATAGGAGCAACCAAATATTAAGAGATTCCTTAGTTTCAAAAAGCAGGTAATGCATTTCTATCAAAAGAGAATGTTTGTACTATCGGGCCGGTTTCAGTGACACCAGAGAACGGTGGCACTCCGGAGCCACTTGCATTTTGGGGCACCTCTTTTGAACATTATAAAATTTAAAGGAAATTTTGAAAAAAGTTCTAGGAAATGGGAAAAAAATATTCAAAAAAAAAGGAAAAACCAAATACTCCGTAATAAGTAAAAAATAAGAAATGTGCACGAGTGCTCCCGTAGTTTAGAAATTATACTTCAATACTTCTTTTTTGTGAAATATGATGAGAAAATCATCAGAGAGTGTAGATACAATATTTCACATCAACAGAGATTTCAAAAATAAGTTTTGAAAAGGACACATTTTTTCCAAACCAAAATACTTAACTTCGGTACCATTCAAAAAAATACTTTTAAGCTTATGGAATATGCAGCCCTCCTTCGTCTTTATCATAATTTTACAGTATCAATTATTATAAAAAAAAGTCAAAAGTGAACAAATATTTAGGAAGGAGGGGAGTACATAACTATAAGGTCGGTAGTTCAGATTTTTAAAATTAATGTGAGGAAAAAGAATAATTGGATCACTAATACTTTTTGTATTAATATATTTTTGAATTTATATAGAGAGAAAGATTATAGATTTGTAGAAATACATCAAACCTAGATCATTTCTATTTAACCTTTAAATAATATGCTAAATAGGAATCAAGATCCAGATTGTAGAATAAAAAAAAGTTTTTCCGAACTCGTCCGTGGCACGAGTAGAAATACTAGTATATGTGTGTGTGTTTTCTAACTGGGTTATAACTTAGTTTTAGATACTCCGTATTTCATTAGTTGTAAATATTTTTAACTAAACTTGAGGCACCTGGCCCGATCACATCAAAATTAAAAGGCACAATCATTATAATTAGAAAGAGTTCAAATTCTAGTTCCAATTGGAGTTCACAACCGTCTCCCCCAATCGCTCCCATAGTGCATGTTTAGAGACTGAACAGATCAGCAAAGACTGAAGCAGTAATGGCTTCCTTGGATGTCAACGAGTACGGCGCGATACTATTATCTTTTTGGTCGGTCAGATCCCCTCTATTTTACAAAATAAGCACCAATACCAACCTTGTTTTCAAAACTTATTTTGAAGTCTATATTGTTACAAAACGTTGCACCATGCTCCCTCTGATCATTTGCCGCTCATTATTTCTCACTTGTTTTTGGTTTTTTCCATTTTTCCTTTATTTGTTTTGTTTATTAATCAAGGTTTTTTTTAAATTTATTTTTAAAATGATTTTTTTATAATGTTTGTAAAATTTAATTTTTTTTTTTGAAAAAAAATTAACATTTACTGCATCTATACGTCTAAAAGTAATAATTTTTGTTTTTTATTTTCCAAAAGAAGATTTTTTTTTTTGAGAATTTCAAAAAAATGAGGAATAAAATACGAAAAAATATACATAAATAAAATTTAATATCTTTTTTGGACATAAAAAATTATATAAAAATAAAAACTATACAAAAATAAAAATGAAAAAATATAAAAAAATGAGGAATAGAATAATTGTTTTTGGAATAAAAATTGTTGTTGGTGCCCAAAACTTATTTTTTGTATAAGACTCCTTTTTTTCATAATTTAATTTTTTCATTGATTTTTCCCATATTTTTATTTAATTATCCTAAATTTTCTTTTTTAACTTTCCAAAAAATTATTAAAAAACAAAAATTAAAAATATTTAATATCAGATAGAAGATGTGTACGTAAATATTTTTTTATTTCAAACACAGAATTTTGAATTCTTTTGAACATTATAAAATTTAAAGGAAAGTTTGGAAAAAGTTCTAGGAAATGGGAAAAAATATTAAAAAAAAGAAAAAATACTCGTAATAACTAAAAAAATAAGAAATGAGCACGGGTGCTTCCATAGTTTAGAAAATATACTTCAATACTTCTTTGCAAAAAATGATGAGAAAATAATTAGAGATAGTGTAGATACAATGTTTCACATAATCACATTAGCCGGGATTTCAAAAATAAATTTTGAAAGGAACACATTTTTTTCAAACCAAAATACTTACTGAGTACTTAGAGCCTGTTTGTCACTGCTTTTTAAAACAGATTCTCAGCTTATGGAGTGATCGGAAGTGATTTTGTGTTGTTTGGGATGTCCACTTTTGATTTTTTCAAACGCAAAATAAGACTTTCAACGGTGTCCTGCTGAAGCATCCTAGAGCAGGTTTTGGCTATGAACTTGTGCGGTTAAAGAATTGAACTCGTAAGTACCATGCCAAACTCGTAAGTTACACATGATTATATGATATAATTATGGTATTACTAATTTTGTAGATCTTTTAGTGTTGTTTAAAATATGTAATTTGTTATTTTTTAATTCAATATCATACTTGAGATAAGCATGATCAAGCATAGCACGCACAATTAAGAGGAATAATGAAGCAATGTTTAAACAAGAAGGTGTTTTCATCAAAACAAATTAGTGTTTTCACATACTTTCTCCCTGGTTTGATGAAAAGAACCTTCAGTTTCTCTTGCGCTTTGAAGATCCGGCAGCCTCACTGATGCCTTGCATGTTTCCACAGAGTTCTCTGATGCGCCTTAAATTGTTGCGTCTTTCCTCTGTTAGGACATCATTTGAGAAGTGGGAAGCAATTGTTCCTATACCTTCTGTTCCATCTAGTCCTGAGCTAGATAGATGTTGTGCTGAATTCTCCAAACTTCTTTGTTGTGCTTCAAGGATTAGATTTGTCATGTTCAGATGAGAAGGAATATAAGAGACTTCTCCTTCTTTGACTGCAATAGGGAGCTGTGGTATTGGAGATGGACTGTGTTGTTGGAGAATCACTTCCATCTTGCGATTTCCAGAGTTTGCGCCAATAAGTCTGAACAGTTTGAATGCTTCATTTTGATTGTCAATGATCACCTTCAAGTAGTCTTTGGTCACTACCTGATTTGCTGAGGACACTGCTAAGGCTGATCTGATGTCCATTTGAAGAAGGGACATTTAGTTTTGTAGACCAACTGTGACACTCGCTATTTGCTCTTTGACTTTGTTAATCTCCTTGAGTTGAAGATGACTGTCAGAGGCATATATCTCCATCGTGTTGCTCACAGTTTTACTCAATAGAGAGATGATCTCTAGAGTCTTGTGCACTGACTTGCTTATTTCTTTGAGATCTGCGCTGTGTTTCTCTTCAGATTTCTCTATCAGCTTGGTGTACCTGGCTTCCATTTGCTCTATCTCTTGCCTAAAGGAGGCATGTTGAGATGCTAGGGCTGATTCAATCAGCCCTTGGACTTTCTTTGTCCAGATTTCCGGTATCTCATCCGGAAGGGTAGGGGTGGAAGAGCTATGAAAATGAAAGTTGGTTACCTGATGAGAAGAGGGTGTTCTTTGGAAGAGTTGCATATGAAGAGATTCAGCATCTTCTTGTACATCTTCTTCATCAGTAATCTTCAGTGTTTTCTCAGACTCTCCTTCTGCTTCATCAAGCGCAAAATTTGATATATATCTAGAGAGGGAGTCACTATCTTCAGCTTCATTCTGTTCTTCAAAAATGGCTATTGGAGTTTTAGAGACCTCCAGTTCTGCCATTTCAGTTTTCTTCTCAGCTTCTCCAGAATTCCTTTGGACTTCTACAGCTTGCTCCTCTTTATTTGTTTCTGGAAAAGTTGACTACTCCGGAATTTCTGATGATTTCTCCGGGATCTCAAGTTCTGCCTGGTTGGAGATCTCACATGCAGTTGTGAGAATCTCAAGGACTTGAGATTGGATTTGTTGCTGAAATTCTTCTTCTGTTGTTTTCTGGTTCTGTTCTTGTAGGGGAGAGGCTGCCTTCTCTTGAACAGCTTCAGTCAGAACCATTTAAAAAGCAGGTGAGGTTTCCGGAAAGATTTGGAAATCCTCAGCTGTTGCTTCCAAATCAGCTTGTGCTTCAGAAGTGAGAACCACTTGTTCTTCTGTGGCTTTAGAGAAGACTAGTTTGTTAGACTTTGTTACAAATTTGAAAACCTTTTTCGTTTCTTTTGAAAACGTAAAAAAGAGTGTTAATCTAGAGTTCTTGTGAACTTTAGATTGTGTGCAGAATTTGTTGGGTAGAGTGAGCAGTAATCAATATGGATGGGTTAGTTTTCACAGTTAATATAATTGCAAGTAAGGGTAAAGATAAAAGAGAGAGACACGCAAACTTTAACGAGGTTCGAAGGTGGAGTAATCCTTCTACGTCCTCAAAATCCACTATGTAGTTGGTTGTTGAAAAATGAACCAACAATTACACTTGTGTGAATTTCTGCACGGTATATCTTCGCAAGGCCAATGTTGCTACTGCACTCGTGCTGACTTTGTTGTTCCTTCGAAGGTCACGCTTCTTCAACAACTGCAAGTTCCGAACAATAGGACTTGCAAGATCAACTTGTAACAAAGTTGACCTTGTTAGACAATAATACTAATAGTATTTCTTGTAGTATTGGTTATGATAGTGTTTCATTATTAGTCAGCTTCCTAATCCTATTTGTGGTAGATGTTGTATGTTAGTTAGTTTCCATTCTCTATTCCTAGTTGTGTTAGGAATCTCTTCTATATATACTCTATCATGTACTTCATAATTCAAGGAGCAATATTATTATTCCGATATT